CATCCTGGCCCCCTCCCCCAGGGCGGGCCGACTTTCCCCAGGGAACAGGTGGGTGGGGCGGGTTCCCACGCCAGGTGACAGATGATATACGGCCATGTCCCTGTGCCTCCCGTGTGCCCACTGAGCAAACAGCCTGCCGTCGGGGTGGGGGCAGAAGATGGGGGCCAAAGTCCTGGGAAAGGCCCCGGCAACGGGTGCTCAAGCCCCCACCCGCATCCCGGGCTGGACCCAGGCCTTGGCCCTGGCAGCCCTCACCTGCCCCTGACCCTGGCCCTACCCCCGCTTGCAGCCGGGACTGCCCCATCTTCTACATGCGCAAGAAGGTGCGGAAGGACTTGGAGAACCAGGAGAAGCTTCTGAGACGCTTTGGGCCCCCTGGCCCCGAGGCCTGGTGACCTCAGCGGCATCCCGTGGACTGGGGGAAGGGTCTGGGAGAATTTAATAAAGTTCGGGCCTTTTGCTACCTGGTGCTCTGTGGTCTCTGGGGGCACAAGGTCCAATTTTATGAGCCCTGGCTGGGACCCTCCCGAGGCCCCCTGTCCTTCTCACCCTCAGCACAGGGCTCCTGGGCTCCTCTTTTGGGCTCCTCCTCGGGTTCCCCTCTGGCCCCTCCCCCAAGGCTCGGAGTGAGCCGCCCTCTACAGGTGCTCTCCCCTGCCCTTGTTCAGGCCACCCAGGTGTCTGGGGGCCAGCCCTGGGTCCCTGGGGGCCGCCCCACCCTCCGGGTGCTGACCTGTTTCCTCCAGGCCTGGGGCAGCCCCTAGCCCAGAGGCTTCCACCCCCCAGCACGGCCGAGGGGACCCCCCTGCGGGTCACACACCCACTGTTTCCACATTGGGGTCCTGATGGGCTTCCAGTCTGGGTTTCCTCCAGCTCACGTCCACTTATGAGACCCCCTGATGACCCCCACCTGCGACCCACAGCCCTGCCCGGCCCTGCCTTCAGACCCGTCCCATGCGGCCTCCGGGAATCATGCGCCCTCTAGGACAGGGTCCTGGGGTCTGCCCACCTCAAGGCCCCCAGCCTGCCCTGCCAAAATGTAGCTCCTGAGTCCAGGTCCCCCCAGTTCCTGATGCCCCCTTCGACCCAGTGACTCCTAGGATCTTCCTACCTCAGGGTCACCCTGAATCCAGCTCCACCCCTCGGCCAGCCCCCCAACCCCACCCACCATGGGGATCCCCAAATCCAGATGGCTCCAGGCCCGCCCTCCCTGCCACGTGACCAAGGGGTTGTGCAATCCTGCCCCCTCCTCCTGCCCCGACCCCTCCGGGGATTTTCGAGGAGGGCTGAGCCTGTGGCTGGCACCCCCAGCCGCCCGCCCCCAGGGCTGGGCCAAGGTATAAATAGGGGTGGCGGCTGCAGCTGGCAGGCACTGCCTGCACCACCATGCTCGCCCTGGAGGCTGCACAGTGAGTGGGGCCCCAAGCCCCCCCTCGGGACCCCCATTGCACTGCCCCTCCAGCCCCTCTGCCAGACCTCACCCGCGGGCAGGGAGGTGGGAACTGGGTCCACACTGTGGCTACCCCCTCCTGTCCCTTCTCCACCCAGATTCTCTTTCATCTGCCATCGTCTTTCCTGGTCCCCCAAAGACCCCACTTCCTTGGAACACTCACTGTGTTCCCTCTTGCTGGTGGCCCTCACCCTGGCCACCTCCGTCTCTCCCTATGTGTGTTTCACCCCAACCATCTCTGTTTCTCCCCGTCTTTGTCTCACCCCGTCCACATCCCTCTCTCCTCGTCTCTCCATCTGTGTCTCACCCCATCCGTCTCTGTGTCTCCCCGGGCTCTGTCTCCCTCGTCCATCTCTGCCTCACCCCATCCATCTCCCTCTCTCTGTCTCACCCCGTCCATCTCTGTCTCGCTCTGTATCTGCCCATATCTTTGTTTCAGTCTCTCCATTCTCGGCCTCTTGTTCTGTCTCTTTTTAGTTCTCTCTGTCCATTTCTTTGTCCCTGCCTCCACCCCTCCTCCCCCCCCATCAAGAAATGCCCCCTGAGTCCTCTGCACACCCTTCCCCCTTCCTGCCTCTCCTCACGCCTTACCTGAGTCTCTGATTCCCCATCCCCGCCCCATACCTCTCCCTCCCTGGCCATCAAGGCCCCTCTTGGCCCAGGCACTCCCCACCCCCCGCCGGCCGGCGGGTGCCCTCAGCTCCTCTCTGGGGACTTTCTCTCCCTCACTTTCCCTGCCCCCCCTCCAGCCTGTCTATGCAAATCTGGGGGGTGGGGGGCCATTTGCCTGGCCCCTGCCCCCCCACTTCCTGTCCCGGTAGGGGAGTGGGGGTGAAAGTGGTGGGGCTGGTCTCACACACAGGGACACCCAGCAGACTCCCAAGCTGTGGTGGTCACAGCTGCCTCCCCGCCAGCCCCCAACCACCGAGAGACTCAGGTGGCTACAGGCAGCCCTGACATGCCCCTGTGTCTCTCCCCCTCCAGCCTCGACGGGCCGCACTTCAGCTGTCTGGTGAGTCACACGCCTGGGGACCAGGGAGGGGTGGCAGAACCCAGCGACCCGCCGTGACCTCCCTCCCTGAGGAGGCCGCCTTCGCTCCCTGCCTCAGTTTCCCCTTTCTGCCCATTCCTGTCCCTTTGTCTTCCTGAACGTAGTGTCTCCCGCCACCCCCACTGCCATCACGGATGTATCCTGATGTGCCTCTCCTGTTCCCGGGCTCTGAGTCCCCCTCTCTCCCTTGCCACTTTGGGAGTCTCCGCCTGTCCCATGTTCAGCAAAAACGTTGACATGTTCCTTCTTCCCTTTCTCCTTTTCTGTTTTGCAGTTTTAAAACTTTTACTCTGTGACATTTCAGACACGCAGAGAACTGCACCCCTGACCCCACAACCCACTCCGAGAAATCAGACACCACTGATGTGGGGGACGAAAACCCCATCTGCCCCTCCCCCGTCACTCTCCAGCCTCCGAGGTGGCTTGCCTTTTTTCTGAAATGGAGGTGCGACACGACAAGTCAGTAAAGTTGACAAATCGTGCGCACACTTCAGTGGGTTTTGCATTGTACGTACCCCTGGGTCGCCACAAGCCAGCTCGAGATAAAAACATTTCAGTCGCTCCGGAATGTTCCATCATGTCCCTTCCCAAGTCAGTGCCCCCCCTCTGGTATTTCCCACTGTCAGTTAGTCTTGTCTGCTTTTGAACTTTATATCAAGGGAGTCATGCAGCGTGTCCCTTTTGGGGTCTGGCTTCCTTCACTCAAGGTGAAGTGTGTGTCTGGTGTTTGTTCTTTTTCCTTGCTGCGTCGTGGTCCATCACCCACCCACACCACAGTTTGTTTATTCCCCCTCAGGTAGATGGGATGTCTCCAGATGGGGAGGGTGTGTCATTCATAAAGCTGCTCAGGCCAGATGCCTTGGTTCACGCCTGTAATCCCAGTACTTAGGGAGGCTGAGGTGGGAGGATTGCTTGAGGCCAAGAGTTCAAGACCGCGCTGGGCAACATAGCCAGACCTCGTCTCTACAGAAAATCAGTGGGGCATGGTGGGGTGCATGCCTGTAGTTCCAGCTACTCGGGAGGCTGAGGCGGGAGGATCGCCTGAGTCCAGGAGGTCGAGGCTGTGGTGCGCTGTGACCATGCCACTGCACTCCAGCCTGGGGGACAGAGTGAGACCCTGACTCAAAAAATAAGATAACATAAAACTGCTCTGATTATTTTTGAACAGGTTATTCTGTGACATTCATCTCCAGGTCTCTCGGGTCACTGACTGCGGGGCCCTGGGGATGCTGTGCGTCTAGCTTTAGTCTCTACTAGTTCCTCAAGTAACACTTGATTCTTGGGATGGATTGAAACATGGAGAGAGATTTTAAAAGGGTTGAGCCGGCTGGGCTCGGTGGCTCAGCCTATCATCCCAGCACTTTGTGAAGCCGAGGCAAGTGGATTGCCTGAGCCCGCGGGTTCGAGATCAGCCCGGGGAACTTGGCGAGACCTCGTCTCTACAATAAATAAAAAATTAGCTGGGCATGGTAGCTCATGCCTGTTGTTCCGGCTACTTGGAAGGCTGGGGCGGAAGGATCACCTGAGCCCAGCAAGTTGATGCTGGGGTGGCTGTGAGCGTGCCACTGCACTCTAGCCTGGGCGACAGAGACTCTGACTCAAAAAAAAAGGGTTGAGCCTTTGCCTCTGTGAGAACAATGCCACCTCCTCTCGCCCTTGCCTCCCCTGTCCCCAGAAAGGCAAGACTGGGGTGCTCTTCCACACCTTCTCCAGAGATGCCAACTGTATACCAGCAAGGCTGCTGTGTGTCTCTTTTTTGCTGTCTCTGCTCTCAGTATCACTGCAGGTTTCTCTTTGCCCCGTCTGGTGCCTAGTCTCTGTCTCTCTGTCTCTCTCTCTCTGCGTTCTCTCCAGCCTCTCGTCTCTGCATTCTCTGTGTTGGAGTCTCTCCAAGTGTCCAGGATGGGGCTGGGGGCTCCCTGAAGCCTGGAATCACTTCCCTCTTCCCTCCCCTGCCCCATCAGTACCCAGATGGAGTCTTCTATGACTTGGACAGCTGCAAACACTCCAACTACCCCGACTCAGAAGGGGCTCCTGGTGAGTGACCCCGGCTCGGCCTCCTCCCCACCTGGGCCTCGGCCCATTTCATAGACGGGTGAGCTAAGCCCCAGGGATCAAGGTAGCCCAGGCCTCCAGACTCCCCCCACCACCCACCACCCTCCACCCCGTTCCTCTCCCACCCATCTGCTCCCCCATGCAAATCCTAGGGTCAGAGATTTGCACAGCCCACAATGGCCCCTTTGTGCCAAGGACTTCCAGCAGGAGGGGGCCTGGGTCAGGCCTCCCGACTTCTGACTCAGTGCCCATCCCCCAGACCCTCTGTGGGACTGGACTGGGCCCCCACCTGTCCCAGCTGCCCCCTATGAAGCCTTCGACCCAGCTGCGGCCACCTTTGGCCACCCCCAGGCTGCCCAGCTCTGCTACGGTCCTTCGGCCTACACCCCTTCAGGCGGCCTCGACCCGGCCCCCAGCCTGGAGGCCCCAGGGCCCGGCCTCCCAGCATACCCCACGGAGGACTTCGCCAGCCAGGTGCGTGGCAGGGGACAGGGAAAACCGGTGGAGTCTTGTCCTGTGGCAACCGCCAAGGTCAGGTGCCACTGTGACTCCATTGCACAGGGGAGGGACATAGACGTGAGCCAAGGGACAGCACAAACTGGTGCTGTGTTGGGCAGGCTTTAATGGAGATAGCACAAGTGTCCCCTGACCACAACATGGTGAACCCAACCACGGCCGGAGTCCATGCTGTCCCCAGAGATGGGGACCAGAGCTGGGGGAGGGGTGTGGTGGGGGCCCCAGCGGAGGAAGTAGAGGGGGAGAAGGGGCCCCCACATGTGCAGGTGACAATGACCTTCCACAGACTCTGGGTCCCCCCGTGTACGCCCCGTACCCCAGCCCCGTGCTGTCAGAGGAAGAGGACTTACTGCTGGACAGCCCTGCCCTGGAGGTCTCGGACAGCGAGTCAGATGAGGCCCTCGTGGCCGGCCCTGAGGGGAAGGGGTCGGAGGCAGGTATGTGGGAGTGGATGGCGGGGCAGAGGGATGATGTCAGCTGGAGACAGAGGGCAGGGGCTAAAGAAACCATGGCTTCCTGAGCATCTGCTGTATACTCCGGTGCTGAGCACCTACTGTATACCCCAGATGCACACCACCTGCTGGCTGTGTGGCCTTGGGCAAGTGCCTTCACCTGTCTGTACAGCCGGGATGGCAGTGATAGCATCTACCTTCCTGAGGGCCTTGGAAGGATTAAACGGGATACTCTATGCACATGGAATGGCAGTGCGTGGCGGAGAGGGGGCGCTGTAAGCCAACATCTCCTTCACTGTAACCTACACAGCATCAAAAATAATCACCATAGCACCCCCCCACACACACACACCAGGAAAGCCCTGCTTCCGCCCATGTGCCCAGCATCCATTATGCCCAGTCCCTGGGAAGCTGGGATCACTGTTCCTTTCTGTATCGGCCTCGGTTTCTCAGCTGTAAAATGGGCATCGTCCTATCACCCCTATCTCACAGGGCTCTGATGCAGATTAAATGAGCTCACAAGCTGGGCTCGGTGGCTCAGCCTGTAATCCCGCACCTTGGGAGGCTGAGGTGAGTGGATTGCCTGAGCCCACGGGTTCGAGACCCGCCTGGGCAACTTGGTGAGACCTCATCTCTACAATAAATCAAAAATTAGCCGGGTGTGGTAGCGCACACCTATAGTTCCAGCTACTTGGAAGGCTGAGGCGGAAGGATCGCCGGAGCTCAGCAGGTCGAGGCTGTGGTGGCCGGGAGTGTCTACTGCACTCCAGTCTGGGCGACAGAGTGAGACTCCAACTCAAAAAAAATAAAAATAAAAAATAAATGAGCTCACAACTGTAAAGCTTCTAGCACTAAATGCCCACAAAGGTTTGTAAAAGCAAGACACACCCAGGAACTTCGTTTATGACTGAGGAGACTCAGCTCAGAGTGGTTGAGTCACCTGTTTGTTTTGTTTGATTTTTGTGTTTTTTTGTTTGTTTGTTTATGAGTCAAAGTCCAGGCTGGAGTGCAGTGGCACCATCAGCTCACCGCAGCCCCCTGGGCTCAGGTGATCCTTCTGCCTCAGCCTCCCGAGTAGCTGGGACTACAGGCATATGCCACCACGCCTGGATAATTAAAAAAATTTTTTTTTTGTAGAGGTGAGGTCTCGCTCTGTTGCCCAGGCTGGTCTGAAACTCCTAGGCTCAAGCAATTCTCCTGCCTCGGCCTCCCAAAATGCTTGGGATTACAGGTGTGAGCCACTGCTCTCGGCTTTTAATCATCTGTTTTCAAGTAGAATCTTTAAGATGCAAAGGACCCTTATAGTGATTAGGAGAGACACAAGACAGAAATAACAATGTTACTACTTACAGGGCCTGAGAAGTACACAGCACACTTGAGGCCACAGACAACACAGACACAGAAACATGAAGGAGGTCAGGGAATGTGTGTGTGTGGGGGGCAGGGAACCAGTGGTCCAGGGTGTTATTCAAACATGTTTCCAGAAGGGGCTTTTACACTTTTTTTTTTCTGAGTTGGAATCTCACTCTGTTGCCCAGGCTGGAGGGCAGTGGCACGCTCACATCCACTGCAGCCTTGACCGGCTGGGCCCAGGAGATCCTTCCGCCTCAGGCTTCCAAGTAGCTGGAACTACAGGCATGTGCCACCACGCCCTGCTAATTTTTTTAAAAATTTATTGTAGAAATGAGGTCTTGCCAAGTTATCCAGGCTGGTCTCGAATCCGTGGGCTCAGGCAACCCTCTCACCTCAACCTCCCAAGGTACTGAGATTACAGGCATGAGCCACTGCACCCGCCTGAGGGGGCTTTTAATCGATGGGTTTAGCAGGTAGGTTGGAGTTCAGGAGGCCATGCTGTGCCTGGGAGGTGGTCTCTGAGGCATCAGCACATCCATGTTGGCCATTTGTAACTGTCCCTTGGGGAGGCCACCCCAGAAAGCGGTGGCATAAGGCGGATATCTGGGTGGCCACATTGAGGAACTGGGAGAAGGGACAGAATTGGAAACTGCTGAAGCGCCTGAGCCCCGCTTCTAGAGAGAGAAAGGCCGGTTTCTACTCAAACGTATGCCCAGGCAACCTGAAGGGATAAGAAAGAACTCACACCATCACCACCCTGAGGTCACACAGCTGGGAAAAGGCACAGCTAGGAAAAAGAGTTCTTGTAGCCACTGCCCTGCTTGGAAAGCCCCACTTCTGTGGGAGCCCAGGAGCCAGGTTGGTGCCCTGGCCCCTCCTGGAACCTCACCCCTTCTGGTGCTGAACGGCTAGGGGATCGGGAGCTGGGGAGATGGCCAGGCCGATTCAAGCCGACTCCAGATCTCTCCACCACCGGTCAGCCCCCAGTTATCCGTTTTTGTGAGCACCCAGATTTTTTTTTCATCCACTGCCCTGCGGCCAGTGCATAATACTACATATCTGCAGAAATGTAGTACTATGCACTGGCCGCAGGGCAGAGGACAGGACAGACTCAAATCCCTAAAATCAAAGCACCAGTCGGGAGCAGCCAGTGGGTATGGGGCAGGCTACTGAGGGCGTGCTTGCGGGGCTTTGAATTAGACAGGAAAGAGGCAACCCAGAAAAAATGAGGAGGCCAGGCGCGGAGGCTCACGCCTGTAATCCCAGCACTTTGGGAGGCCGAGGTGGGAGGATCGCTTGAGCCCAGGAGTTCGAGACCAACCCGGGCAACGCAGCCAGACCTTGTCTCTCCCAAAACATCAGAAAAATTAGCGGGGCGTGGTGGCCCACGCCTTTAGTCCCAGCTACTCGGCAGGCTGCGGCGGGAGGATCTCCTGAGCCCAGAAGAAGCTCGAGGCTGCGTGAGCCGTGGCCATGCCACCGCACTCCGGCCTGGGCGACTGAGGGAGACCCCAGCTCAGAAAGACAGCTCGAAGGCACAGAAGGGGGAGGGGGTCCCAGCGGCGGGGCG